GCAGGCCGTCGGCGTATATTTTAATATACGCCTGTTTCACACAATTATTTGGCGCAAAGCGCCGCGTTTTTGGCCGGGACGGATGGTCGGTCCCGGCCGTAACGATTTGCATCGTTACAGTTCCTTTGTTCATTTTTCGTAAGTCAAGCGAAAACATTTGGATTTGCTGTCTCAGGTAATACTCAGGTCGCTTAGCGCGAAAAAGATAAAGTGTTAAGAGCCGTCTACAATGGAGAGTTGTAGGCCGTAACAGTAAGAAATTGACAAATCACAATCGATTATTCTTCTGTACTTTGTCTGTGATTGGTCAATTTCTTACTGTTACGGCCTACAACTCTTCATTGTAGACGGCTCTTTACATAAAATCTGTCGTTCTTACGACAAAACGCGGCTTAACGGGTTAACACCCCGTGGCTGCGTCCCCGGCGACGCCATCTTGCCTTGTCTGAAAGCAAGTAACAAAAGATTAGTTTCGTCAAAACTTGTCCGTAAGCTTAGCAGTGGTGTAAAACTATTATTAGCTTTCTGTGTTCTGCATCTTGGACTTAGTGCAACGGTCACGCGAGTGTTTACAGAATGACCAGCAAAGAAACTGACGTTGATATGCTTGAGACGGGCCCCCCGCCTAGGGAGGACATAACCCCCTCTTCTGCAAGCCAGGTCCCCGCTCTCGCGGCAGTACCTGGGGGCGATCGCGGCCCTTGCCGCGTGTCTTTAGTAAACGTCCCTTCCAGCTCTTTCGCTTCTACGGATTCTGGAAGTAGGGTTTCCAAGAAAAGGGATGGCGCGGGTTTAACTCCTCCCCCCAAGCGTGTGTTTTCAACACTGTCTAACGGGCAAAGACAGTTGTTACTCAATAGGTACCATACGAACTCCAATGGTCCGTTTATGGTCCATATTGAAACGTGTCGGTCACAGCTTCCCTCAATGGGAAGTACAGGGTCTGCCAGGGACCAAGGTGCAAGTAAAAACGGGGCCTCACTCAGTGCTATTGGCCTGGGCAAGAGGCTTAACCGGCTCCTCTTAAACCAGTTCATGCATGCGTTTGATTTACGCGTCATTGGTAGAAATAGATTCTCAGTCTGCTTTCCCACAGGTGGGGACGCCAACCGGTTCGTGGGGGCTTTCCAGGATGTCGCCGGTAAAGTGACTCCTAATGAACAGTGGACGGCGCACGTCCCGTCATTTAGAGTGGTAAAACAATTCGTCTTGAAAGGCGTGGATGAGGAAGAGACGGTTGAGGAGCTACTTGCTGGCCTACGCCTCCCTCCTGGGTGGGACCAGGAGTGGACTCCTCCCTTCGAGGCTGTCAGAATTACACGCAGGGAGAAGGGAAGTCCCACTTCCACCCCGAAGTATGTGAGTACCAACCAGTTCATTTTGCGATTCCGCACCCCAGTGGTCCCTCGGTCATGCCTGTACGTGGGGAAAAGACTCCCGCTAACACCCTATGTTTATAAGATCAGGCGTTGCGAGTTCTGTCAGAGGTTTGGTCACACTGTACATTCGTGCAAACAGTCCGGAGACGACCGACGCAGGTTTTGTGAGAAGTGCGGCAAGTCTGGCCATGCTAAACCAGACTGCCCTAATGTCCTTGATGAGTGCATAAATTGCATCCGGTCTAAAGCCGGTAACACCGGCCATCAAGCATCTGAGTTCCGCTGCCCTGTTTTCCAGAGGCAACGTGAAATCCATAAACTGATGGCTTACAGAGACCTTTCCTTCCGGGATGCAGCTGGTCTCTGTGACAGCGGAAACACTCTTTCTGGCTTGGAGTCTAATCCAACCAGTGTTTCAGTATCTCTTCCCACGCTAGGGGAGTTTTTACCTGGAAACGGCGTCTTCCGTTTCTCTGGAACTGACAGGTCTGGTTCCCCTTTCTCACAGAGAGTGACTAAAGTCAACCCGAGGGTACCCTCTCCGTTGGTTAGGTCTCCCCTCACTCCCGGGAACTCGGGAGGTCGTTTGTACGGCCCTTCCCCTACGTCTAACCTGTCTTACGCGGAGGTTGCCTCTTTAAAACCTCCTCCACTTGCTAACTTTGCTCCTAAGTTGAGAGGTAGTAACGAAAGAGTTATCTCCTCCTCTTCACCCTCAGCTAAACGAGCCTCACTTAATCATTCTCTTATTGATTCAATCTCAAAAAAAATATCCTCGGGCAACAATCCTTCTAAGGATAAACCCTCTTCACCATCTTCTGATAAAGAGGTACTTATTTCCGCATTTCAAAAACTCAACGTCACTCCTAGTACAAATATCTCGCAACTAAGTAATAATGACATGCAAAATATTGTCACGGAATTACTTAGGTACCTTTACGGTACTCTCGATTCACAAAGTTAAACTCACTACTATTATCTATATATTACTTAATGAAGCCTTTCACTGTAGTCCAATGGAACTGCAGATCCTTGGTCCGCAATCTTGATGCGGCTCGTCTGCTACTCCAAGACTGCATGGCGGAGGTTGTTGTGTTCTGCGAAACCTACCTCGATGGTAACTCCATAATCACTTTCCCAAATCACGAAATATCTTACGACCGCAATCGTCGCGGGGGTGGAGTTGCCATCGCCGTTGCTAAACACGTTAGGTTTCGTGTTCCAGAAGTTTCTCAGTTACTTGACCTATGCATAGAAAATAGCGTAGAACTCATAGTTGTAGAACTATTTCTCCCTAACTTTTAGTCTCTTTATATCTTCTCATTATATAACCCACCTAGGGTTTCTTCAAACTACACGTCACCCTCTTTCTGGCAAACTTTCTTCCAATTAAGCTCCAAATTCCAACCTGCTATAATATGTGGTGATTTCAACGGAAAGAGTCCGCTGTGGTGCATCACACCCCCCCTCTCTAACAGAGAAGGGAAAAACATAGAACATGCGTTACTAAACTCTTCTTGGGTGGTCCTCAACAATGGTAGTAATACGTGGTCCTTTGCCGACCTCTCCAGGCGGTCCGCGATAGACCTCACTTTCGTTTCTGGCACTTTGGCCCCCCAGTGCTCTTGGAGGGTATGCGAGTACCATTACGGTAGCGACCACTTCCCAGTGGTCACTTCTGTCTCAGATAGGTTTTCTGGCCGCAATGCGTGTCGGCCCTATTACTCTGTTAAACAGGTTAATTGGAGTGAATTTCAATCCTTGTGCCAAGAAGGCGTGGATCCCCTCCCTCCGTTAAACACCACGACAAATGTAGATAGTACCTACGTTCGGTTAGTATCTCTCATAGACAGGGCACTTCTGAGTGCGGGTGCAGTTCGCACAACCATCTCTAAGTCCTCTAGAAGACCCCCCACACCCTGGTGAGATGCTTCTTGTTCTGAGATCTTTTCTCGGAAGAGGGCCGCGTTTGCACAATTTCGGTCTCATCCCAACATCAATTACCTAGATAACTACTGTCAAGTGGCTAAAGAGGTTTCTAAAGCCTTAAGAAAAAAGAAACGCCAAGCTTTTCGGAATTTTTGCGGCTCTCTACACGCCAATTCTGATATTGGTTCGGTGTGGAACACGGTCAAGGCCTTTTCTTGTGCACGCAATAAGCCTAGGAACGAAAGTAACAAAAACTGCCTTGACCTTGAGGGCTTTCAGAAGGCATTTGATAAGATTGCTTCATGTGAACCTCCTCCCCCTCAGAACCACCCCACTTTTCTTGAGTCGTTGAATCAGCTAAACACCAACCTTAGCAATGAGTATATGGATAGCCAAATTACTCCTGATGAGTATTATTCCGTGATAAAGTCTCTTAAAATCCGGTCGGCCCTTGGCCCAGACTTAATCACGAACTTCATTATCACCCAATTCCCCCCGGCCCTCCACATGTACATAATCAATCTTCTTGATTTAATGTATTCTCGACAGGTTTATCTAACTGCGTGGAAAAACTACTTTGTCATTTTTATTCCCAAACCGGGACGCAAGGGAGCATACAGACCCATATCTTTAGCAAATAACCTCCTCAAAGTAATGGAGAAAGTAATGTGACGCCGACTTGAGTGGTGGATTGAAAATAACGGTATTCTCTCTCCCCACCAGTTTGGCTTTAGACGAGGGCTCTCCTGTACTGATAGTCTGTCCATGCTTGTGTCAAAAATAAAAGCGGCTAGCAACTCCAGACAGGTTATTGGTGCCGTTTTCCTTGACATCGAGGGGGCGTTCGACAATGTCGTGCCATCGACACTGCTGACCATGCTCCCTTTCTTCAGGGTCCCCCCCCGAATGGTAGCTTTCTTGACCTCAGTGGTGAGCCTCAGGAAGTTAAAAGGGTACGCATCGGGAGTCTATGTTCAGACCCGAAATACAGAACGAGGGTTGCCGCAGGGCTCTGTCCTGAGTCCCACACTATTTAATATTTACATGTCCCGCGTCGAAGTCTGTCTACTGGCGTCTGTAAACGCCCTTATTTACGCCGACGATGTAGTGATTTTCTGTTCCAACCCCTCTGTTTTGTTTGTTGCCCAGCAACTAAATACCGCCCTCGACCAAGTAAAGTCACACCTAACCACCCTAGGACTCCAAGTGTCACCCAGTAAGTCTGTGGCTACGTTTTACTCACTGTGCCCTTTAAGGAACATGAAGTGGCTCCTAAAGAAGAAGAACGTGAACATTTCCCTGGCAGGAACTAAACTTAACATCGAATGGACAGTTAGGTTTCTAGGAGTTTACATAGATTACTCCCTGAAATGGAAAAAGCACGTGGCTGAGATGAGGAAACGAGTCCTCCCTCGTATAAATATTCTTAAGGTGTTGGCAGGAATAAAGTGGGGAACACACCCTACCGTCTTGTTAACCGTGTATAAGGGACTGGTCAGGTCCGTTCTAGAGTGGGGTTGCCATGTAACCTACCTACCCTCTCGGGTCACGCGAAGAGCTTGTACTCGACCGCCTGCAGTTCGCCTGTGCCAGGGTTGTGTGTGGCCTTATGCGCACTACACCGACTAATGTGTTACTAGATATGATAGGCGAACAACCCCTACAGTATAGACACAAGTATCTTATTAGCAAATATGTTTGCAGGGTTTGTGCTAGGTCAAGCCATCCTCTGGGACAGCTACTGAAGGGCATTGTCGAGACTTGGGAACCTATTTGTGCTGACAACGCGTTTGGTCTCTTCACGGTGTATCAGGAACTCCAGCACATTGTTAAAGATGTCGCAAAGTTCTCACTCCCGGGTAGCCTCGGCCTCCCGTACCACGTTAGGTTTTTCAAGTGTGACACTGACACCAACACTGGCTTCCTTGCGCGTCGGGCCGAAAACCCCCAGCAGTATCTCGAAGGCTTCTTCAGGGACCATGGCCTTACCAGGATATTTTTCACTGACAGGTCTCTTTCCCCGGGTTTGGATGAAACACCACCAGCAGTTGGCTTTGCTGTGGTCTCAGACGAACCCGATCTCGTCCATTATGAACGCATAAACAGTAGTTCCACTATTTTTGACGCGGAAGCCCGCGGCGTTGTTTGTGCGCTGGAGCACCTTAAGGACTTTGGGTTTCCTCGGGTCGTGATCGTCGGACTCACTCAGCGTGATTACGTGCCTTGGATCAACGGACCCTAGAGGTGTCCACTCACCGTTAGTGTATCAAATAAAGGAGCTAGTTCTCGGACTTAAAGACGACGGCGTGTCAGTCAAGCTGGTGTGGGTCCCCGGCCACTGTGGTATCCTGGGCAATGAAAAGGCAGATAAGTACGCAAAACTCTCCTTGACTCTTCCAGAACCTAGCTTTGGAAGCGAGTTGGAAGTCTTCTCGCTGTTCCCTTCCCTTCGGTCCGATACAGTAAGATTGGCCAGAGAAAAGTTACTCAGTGATGCAACCTACAAGGGAGTTAAGTACTTCCAACGTAAACCCGTACTCTTAGACAAACCGTGGTTTATTAGAGTTAAAAAAAAGAAATTTTTGCTTCGCCCCTTAGTTACACTAATATCTAGAATACGCTCACATCATACAGCAGTAAACGCTCATTTAAAGGAAAAGGGAGTAGTGACCTCTTCGGAATGCCCGTGTGGACACCCGTCTCAAGATATTAATCATATATTCTTTCAATGTCCTATTTATAAGATTCAGTCGGATAAGCTAATAATTGATTTATTCCACAATGGCTTTAACCCCCCTTATAGTGTCGATGAGGTCGCTTTTTCCAAATGTTTTCGCGCCATGTTCGCTCTCCTCTCATTCGTAAACACTACCAACGTAAACATATAAACCTCACTTACCAATCCCATGTACCTACTGTGGCTACGTTCGTGTAGAGCGCTGTCTGCGCTGTTGCGACGTTCTGTCCTTGTTGCTTGTCAAGTGTAAAACAAGGATAGAGTGGCAGTGTGGCTGATACGTCACTTGAAATCAAAGTTCCCTATATAACCCGTAATATACACGCGGTCTCAAGCCTCTTGCACAATGGAAGGAATAGCGATAGCGATAGAAATAACACAGTTTTTAACACAGAATTCCAACTCGTCGGAAATTTTATTGCTATTGCTTATTCCGATTTTCTGATCTGCATTGATACATGTGTAGTTTTGTATGTTAGATTCCGCTGTTCTTACCTTTATTTTTAAATATAAACTCTTTAAAACTTTTGTTATTTCTATCGCTATCGCTATTCCGTCCATTGTGCAAGAGGCTTCAGACTGGCTTTTGCTCCTCTCGCGCAGGGGCGTGCGCTATATAAGCAAAGAAGAAGAAGAAAGAAGTGTTAAAGATCTTTAATCGTATATTTTTACATCTCCAGAAATATTACAGTTGCTTTTGTTCTCGTTTTGTTCCACCGTTCCTACATTCAACGGTTTCAGCCTCTCTGACAAATCATTAAATCATTCAGATCCTCGAAATAACAACATGGCAGAGTAAGTATATTTTCTTTATTATAATATAATATATTAATTTTGTTATTATAGATGAGCGCACAATTAACTTAATATGTTTTAGGACGTTCAAAAACATTCGGTGCACACATTAGTGTTTCGCTCTTTAAAACAAACACACGACATGTTTCTGTTGAATCAAGGAATCTTACCACCAGTGAATCCTGCATTGTAAGTATCTCAAAATTGTGCTGCTCCGAATTAATTTATTTTCAACGATATGTAATAGCAGATAGAGAAGCCTGATAGCGGCCATGTCATTGTAGTTTCTTACGACGGTTTCAGCCGCTGGTTTTAGCCGTATTTCCACAAAAGTGGAACTTAAAGGCCGTTCTCCGCGAAACTCAAATCGCAGGTCTCGTGGAACTGATCAATCACGTTGGTCGATTGGCTGATTTGACTCTGCAATTGGTCAATTCCACGAGATCTGATACTTGCGTTTAATGTAGAACGGCCTTTGAGTTCCACTTTTGTGGAAATACGGCTAAAACCAGCGGATGAAACCGTCGTAAGAAACTACAATGGCATGGCCGCTCTCAGGATTCTCTCTGGTAATAGATATATACTTGGTGAAATTGTTAGAAAATACTTCAAAGTGGGCTGACACGAAGTAAGGTACACAGGTATTGGCTCTTTCCAGGCAACAAATAAAAAAGTCCATCAAAGCAAAGCATTGTTTCACCTGTTCTAACACCAAAAATCATCAAAAAAACAAAGCGGATCCTCCACCACCTGGAGATGAAACTTTTGCAGTGACTTCAGGAGCGGTTGTAGTATCACATATACAGAACACAAAAAAAGTAGATAATATAACCAATAGCGCGCTAACAATACCGCAAAAGAAAATACCCTCAATGGCAAAACCCAAGTGGCATGCACCTTGGAAGTTGTACAGAGTTATTAGCGGTCATCTGGGATGGGTAAGGTGTTGTGCTGTTGAGCCTGGGAATGAATGGTTTGCTACCGGCTCAGCTGACAGAGTAATTAAAGTAAGTCTCCAATTTTTCTGAATTTATGTTCATTCAGTATAACATTTATATTCATATAGCCTATAGTTCAGTTGTTTATAATATAAATTTGTGTAGAACAAGGTAATACAATTTTTACACAAGCTTTATATGTAGTTCCTTTTTGTAATTGTAGATATGGGACCTTGCAAGCGGTAAATTGAAAGTTTCGCTGACTGGTCACATAAGCAGCGTCCGCGGTCTAGCGTTTTCCAAAAGACATCCCTACTTGTTCTCCTGCGGCGAGGATAGGCAGGTCAAGTGTTGGGATCTCGAGTACAATAAAGTGATCAGACATTACCACGGGCATTTGTCTGCTGTGTACTCTCTGGCATTGCATCCCAGTATAGACGTCCTCGTGACGGCGGGACGCGATTCTACGGGACGTGTGTGGGACATGCGCACAAAAGCAAATGTCCACACGCTCGTCGGACATACCAATAGCGTGATATGCCAATCCGCCGAGCCGCAAATCGTCACCGGCAGCCACGACTGTACGATTCGCTTGTGGGATTTGGCCGCCGGAAAGTCCATCGCCACACTGACGAATCACAAGAAGAGCGTTCGAGCCCTGACATTCCATCCGTCCTTGTACATGTTCGCCTCGGCGTCTCCAGACAATATCAAGCAGTGGAAATGTCCGGAAGGGAAGTTCATTCAGAATTTATCCGGTCACAATGCCATAGTGAACTGCTTGGCTGTGAACGAAGACGGGGTTTTAGTCTCCGGCGCTGACAACGGTACTATGCACCTCTGGGACTGGAGAACGGGATACAATTTTCAACGGCTTCAGGCGCAGGTTCAACCCGGTTCGATGGACAGCGAGGCTGGGGTGTTCAGTATCACATTTGACATGTCGGGCACTCGCATGATCACCACCGAAGCAGACAAGACCATAAAAGTCTACAAAGAAGACGAAACTGCCGTAAGTGAAATCTTCTAATCACATCAATGTTCAGTGAATGTTATCTCCTAGTGGTATATATTTTAACGATTTTATCGCCAAAAGTTTCTCGCACACTAACAGTTCTGTATTTGGATTTTCAGACGGAGGAAACACATCCCATCGACTGGCGACCCGACATAATAAAACGAAGAAAATACTAAAGTTTTACTCACGGACTATAATATTAGTATTTATATGTATACATAGAATATTAGTATTTATATGTATACATATATATTAAATATACATATATTTTTTTAAACGAGACTTTTACAATATACGTTCCTTTCATTTACCGGAGACATTAATAGATCCATCTATTAAACACATATATACATATACACATGTTATTTGTCAATGTTAAATATCAAGTAAATGGCCAATACTTTTACGTTTTGAGAAGAAAATAGGAAGGAAGAGCAGTTACATTATCGACACGACGTAGTTGTGGACACAGACTTCTATAGTATACTAGACCGCTAGCTTCTTATGTACGGCTGGCTACAAAATCTATGTACTAAAGTCGTCATGGAGGGGGAAGATGGGATGGTACTGAAGAATGCAAGATGGCCGTCATGTTTGACAGCTGATTGAGTTGTAAGGTTAAGTTGTAAGGTATACTATAGAAGTCTGTGGTTGTAAGGTTGTGAGGTTAGCTATTATATACTGACAGTTTGTATTTTAATTTTATGAATAAAGGAATATAAAACAATTATGTATTTTTTTTTTATATTATAAATGAAACATTGAAGTGAAATATATTTATTATAAATAAAATATATAATAAATGAAATATATTATAAATGAAATATATATAATTGACTATTTTTTATATTCCGTAAAGATATTCATATTATATTTTCTATATATTCATTTTAATCTAAAATTAAAAGGATTATTAAGAGCCTTAATTCTCTNATTGTTAAAAGGATTATTAAACTATAAATTTTTTATAAGAAAAGTAAATATGTGGAAAAAAATTTTAATAATGAATTTTAAATTGGTCAAATGTATTTTATTTCTTTATACATGTTATATTTTATTTTTTTATACATGTTTTCTTTGTACATGTTTTATTTCTTTAGACTTGTAATTTTTCTTTACATATTATATATACATTATTATAGTATACATTTTTCATTATAGTATAAAAATAAATAACTTATATTAATATAAAAACTTATATTAATATAAAATATATACTGTATTTATATATATATAATTTTGCGCGCAAGTATATGTATATATACATATATATATATCATTGTTTCTAATGCATTTAAGTTATTTCGAGTTATAGGTTGATGAAATCCTTTTCCAAAAGGATTTCTCGAATTCATAAAGTCAAATAATCTGTCTATAACCTTAATAAATGTTATTGTTGCTTCAGAGTCGCAAAATTCGGGACAATATTGTTTTAAAAATTCAATNGCTGTTGCTACAGATGAGCTTAACGTTTGAGCGGCATATTTAACTTTCATTTTGTTTTGCCACCAATTAATGCATTGAGAACTTAATTTGTTTTTAAATTTAAAAGTTAATTCATTTTGCATTTGATATAATTGTATTATATATCGCCATTCAATATTACCATCATTTGTAAGAAATTCTTTCAAATCTGCTAATGCATTACGAGCTAATTTTAACATATGACACGCATCTAGTATGACATAAACATTATAATTTTGTGTAGGATGCTTAAAACTGTTAATAATAGATTCATAATTTTTCTCATAAATATTACATCCTAGCTGATTAAATGCACTTACATTAATGGTTGCGCCGTCGCACACACACACACACACACACACATGTAATAGATCGTACTTTTAACTCACTATTACTTGTCAAAGATAAGGCAGACAAAATTAATTCCGCAAGTATAGCGCCAGATAAAAATTTCTTCAAAAAATAAGCAATAGGCCATTTCCATTTACCATTAAGGGCAACCAGCATAAATACTAATGCTTCATTTGATAATGAGTCTTTCTCTTTTATATGAATATCATTTCCATAATCCACATATCCAACAAGTTTTCCTTCCTGTTCATTCCAAAGTAATTGCTGCCGTATTGACATGCTGTCAAAGATCATGTTGCAATCTTTATCTATTGAAGGCAAATTCTTTAGTAATGAAATTATCTCTTTGTGGAATCCAGGTTCAGCATTTACATTTGAATGCCAATGCCTAATGCTCAATGGATGTGGCAAATTCAAAATCCCTCTATGTATAAAAAAAAAAGCATATTAATAACTGAACAAGTTTATTTTTTTGCTTTATTTTTGTTGTATTTAATAGAAAAATAGAATGTATCAAATAGGAAATAAAATGTATCTAATAGAAAAATATAAAGCAAGTCATGCAAAATATCCAATCATGCAAAGAAATAAAAAGACAGAAAGAAAAGCGTTAAACTAACCGGCAATAATCATAAGCCTTTGGAGAATGATAAAATAAGGTTACAGCAAACTTTTTCACTTCTTCCGAAAATCTTTTACCACTTGCAGATCGTGCATTATTTTTTACTTCGTTTTGAAAAAGATTGAGTGACATGCTTTCAAACTCACGACTTAACATATTAAATGCATCAGTACCACTTACATATTTCTTTTTCAATTCCTCAAATAAATGTTTCATACTCTAAATGCGTTCCTCTTTTCCTCGTTTTACACTACGTAGTAAGGTATACAATTCTTGTCGTTTAGATGCAATCTTGGACGTAAGTTTCGACTTTTCGTTTTCCAGAATCTTCTGAAACACTTCTGCTTGTCTCTTTAGTTCTTGCTGATGCGATTCACGTTCATTTTGCAATTGTTTCTTTAATATTTCAATTTCATTAGAAGATTCTGACGAAATTACTTGAATTTTAACATTTTCACTTTCTAATATTTCTTCTGCTGCACGTTTGTTGCTATTCACAGTTGCTGAAATCACAATTATCTCTTTATAGTGTAAATTAATATATAATAGCATGTTTGATTTGTCTATTTGATCCGAACCAAAAGTAATGATTCGTTCTTTTGATCATAAGTATAATTTGTAATATCAATATAGTAAGAAATGTAACATAAGTAATATATTAATATAAATTAATCACTTACAAAGTGTGTTATTTAATACTTTGAAGGGATCATCATTCTTTTTGCTGTCATCCCATACAACACATTTTTTTGGAAAAACTCCAGGTTTTAAGAGTACCTTCTTATTTACACAATAATAACACAGCCACACAACAAAAAAAAATTTCTTTGGCCTGGGGATCAGACCATGTTTATTATATGTTTTTGGGGTCGCTGAATCCGAATCCGAGGTCCATTAA